GTCATTATTTGCTTGCTCTGATGATGTATATCTTTTGGTGGATTGAGATATGAATGAAAGAATTCTTCTCCGTAGAGTTTTAGTCCTTCTTCTGAGATCACTGGTGGTAGAAATTCGACCTGAAAATGAAGCTGAACTCCAGTAATGAATCAAAGAGGTTCGCTAAGGAGCAACCACTCACTTTTCTGAAACCTGCATCTTTGAGAATTCGTTCGTAGGTTTCGTTCAGAAAGAAGGTTACCTTCGATGTTCCAACGACTTCTAAATGTGAAAAAGGTGTCAATGCCATGGAAGGGGGAACGGTAGATTTTGCAACTGGTGGCTGGCCCCACAACCATCGTGGATGCTCTTATCTGTTATCTGAACAAGAACCACTGCCACGACGGACAGGAGCAGAATGCGTGGCGCAAACCAAAAAGGTGACTAAACAGCACCAAAAGCTCCATCCTTGCTTTTTTTTATTTGGTACTAACCAATTTTTGAAGGGCGAAGACGTGTTCAAGGGTTCAGCGCCTTCACTGAATAATTTTTTGATAACGAGAACCTTGCACACTAAAAGTTCAACCAGTTCTTTGAAAGACCATGTAACATACCTCCATTGTCGAAAAACTCCACATCAAGTCGTTCTGCCATCATATAATTCCGTCTCAGGGCTCAGATTGATAGCAGCTCCTGAATTCCTTCTACATAATTACTCCTTCCTTTGAAAAAAGGTTCCAGGTGGAAACTCACCAAATTTTATTCCTTCTTCTCGTTTCGGATTGAAAGTTATTTACACCATTGGGAACAATCGCTACGAATATACCATCATTGTTTAAACTTTTCGAAATGTTCCTAATGGCCTGAAGTGGAATAGGTCAAAGGCTCGTTCCACGTTTGCCATATGGGCGGGCACAGTCAATTCTTTGCGCGTTATTCATAGGTGCGCTCTCCCTCCTCTGACAGTAAAAAGGGAGACGCGCCAATGGTTAACACATTGAACGCCGCGGCGTTTTTGCGGCGACTCCCGTTTTGACTTCCTGCGTCTCCGCGCGCGTGTATTGAATGCAATACACGAACGCGCGAAAGGGTCTTTGTGGCCGCCTGCCCTTATAAAACGCTCATTCTGGTCATTTGTTGCGTCCTCATTTTCTACATTGTTCAGTATGAATAATGACTTCTTTTTGCTGCATAGATGGATCTGGACAACGTAGAAGATTTAAACGTCAGTTTTTACGACATAAGTATTGGGTTGGCCCACACGTAATTGAGTTTTTTTGGTCACATAATTTTTTACATGAAAAACGACAATTGTTCCCAATATGTTCTACAATGTTTGATAGATAATTTCCTGCTTCATATGATAGTGGGGTTGCTCCCTACTATTATTTCATGGTTTCCGATTGACTTTCTTAAAGGCAAAGCCCGCGACCACAGATTGTGGGTAACGGAACCCACATAGGAACGAAAAAGGGCTAGGTATCTGAGTAGCGGAGAAAAGCAGCAGAAAAACAGCCGAAAATGCCCTGAATAGGATTTCATATCGACCCTAACTTGTACATGCATGCAATGAAGAAAACGCATGTTTGTACGAATTTCCACTCGTCGTTATCATAAAGATATCAGCTCTTTTATCGTATCACCTCACTCTCACCATTCGGAATGGAGAGAGATAGCATAGTGGCTACTAGCTAGTAGCTAGCAGCCGGTGGGGGTCGGCATGGGCCTAAGGGGCGCCCTTGGGCCTAATTGGTTAGCTTGAAGCGGAATTCTTGCGGATTTTCACTTTCTAAAGGTAGCGCAGCCTCCGCAATCTCCTTCCGGATCGTCTGACACATTTGAAAGGTCATAGCCTTATTTTTTCGCGGAAAGTGCCTTATTTTTTCGCGGAAAGTGCCTTTAAATGGAAAATTCTGGTCGCGTGGGGGCCATCTTGCTTGCGGAACCCATCCACTAGGTCTGGAACTTCTTCACTCGAACGGAGGTAATGCTTGATAATGACAAGGAAGTATTTTAAGACCTTTAACGATTCCTCTACCCTTGGCATGATTCTCAGTTAACAAGGTGATTCCGTAAGCTTTCAGTCTGACAGAATAGGGCATTAGGTTCGATGCTTGTCTGTGGGGTCGAAACTGAAATCTCCGAATAACTTGAAGGTTTACTAATATTCCTACGAGACGTAGCCTTTTAGCCATATACTTACCACTGGACCCATGCGGTTTTAGCTTTTTAATTAGGGGCATAAATGAGAGGACTGTTTCGGAAAAGTTCAATTTCTTAACCTGGCCCACCATTTCTATCACTGATACTAATTGGATAGCGAATGTAATGAAGCAAACATAGCGAATTATCTATTCTGGTGTGCCAAGGACTCTGTCCGCCCAAGTGGCTATAAAACCCAGTGCGAGAAAGCTCCTTCTTGCTTCAGCGACCATACTTTTGAGTGGAAAATAAACGCCATTACTTATGGGGCGACCCAGTATTATTATCATAACGACTTAAACACTATCAAATGTATTGTAAATTAACATTTGTAATTATCACTAGAAGTCTTACTACCATTGCAGTGATGCGGAGCAATCATAAGAAGTGCAATTAGTTAATGTTATTTTGTAATGTTAATGAATTACCCCAATGAGCAGTTATTTTCACGCCATCAAGAACTAAGCATGAGTAAAGCTCGTTGAACATATACTCGGTGAGAATGGTTCAATTCGCACTATTATCCACGAAAAAACCGAACAACAAAACGTGAATTGTGGGCAATACACAAACGCGAGAAACGGGAGTATGCGCGTGTATTGATATCAATTCACGCGCGTTTCAACGTGTAAGGGACCTTATTGTCCGTCGACTTAGTGATGGCGAAGGTCGATGTTGGCGCGTATTATTAATAAGGGCAATGACTTTAGGTATCGAAAAAGCGAAATTATCGGTAAAAAGCTCATAGAAAGCAGTGCTAGGCTTCGAAACCTTAGGTGTGAAGATAAGTTCCTCACCCTTGTTAGCTCAATCTTATCTTCCATGAATTGCAGTACGAAGAATGCTACGGCCACATCAAATCACGACACACTGCGCCGCTTTTCGGCTATAACGCCTGCTCGCATTGTGCAGACTTTGACTGAAAGTAATATCTCTATAGAGATGCATCTAGACAGTATGCATCTTCGCGAATGAGGTTGTATGCAAGCAGCTGTGAGCAGAAGTTGATATTTGTCATATTAAAACTAACCATATCCCATAGGAGCTTCCGTGCAGCTGTGATCATTTCTTCTGAGCTGTCCATACCGAAAACTTCTACGGCACCGTGCAACAGGAAGTCACGTCCGATGTGTCCTGAACGAGTTATGAGTTTACAGCCATCCAGGGGCAGCATCACATTTGTGCCCCGACACACTTTTAAGCCCATCATATAGAACCATACCAATCCAAGTCTAGTATCTCATTTTCTAAGCTAAGAGCTTCTTCTGTGAAAGCTCATTCTAAAACTTGATCACTTGAGATTCATTGCTGGAGCATGAGCCATTGGGCCAGATTCACTGATAGCCTTCATTTGAGGACAACTGAGAGCCCTTATAGAACCATTCGTTCACTCATAAGCGTCAGCACCACTCAGCAGAGACCGAGTGTGGAGAACTTGTCACTTTGCCAGAGTTAGCGATCGTCAAAATTCACATTCATATGTAATGACTCTAATCAGCTCCTCATTTTTTCCTCAAATGGATCCCAAAAAGAGTTTTACTGCGTACATCTTGTTCATCGAGGCACTGGCGCATCCAGTGTTGGCACAAGTGAGATGTAGAAGCGCCAGCGCTTGATATTTGATACAAGGGTGATAGGACTAACCTGGGATGTTGCTTAAAACGCGCCTCCGGGCCGCTGTGACCACACACCGGTGCATCACAATTTTTGTTTCCTAAAGTTCCCTTCGGTCTATTTAGCATGGTCTGAGCTTACCTGAACATGTTGAACTTACGGGCTACCGACGTAAAAAAAGACAGAATGATCCGGGAAATTCTATCAGAGGGTCTTCAATTAAACCTATCATGGCGCCATTTTCGGCCTTCTCCTGTGCGCATTTTTCCGGATTTCTTTTTCTCCCATTATGTTGTGGAGCCCTTTTCGAGTATGATTGGATAACTAACGCTTTCAATAATACATCCGATTTCTGTTGATAATACATTGAGAGTTTGCCAACCTTAAGATATCTAATAAGGCTTACTGTTCCACAGCCAATATGGACGATACTCATCTTCCCTTTGACTGAGTTCCCCACGCCTTTCTGGCAGAGCATGAGGCTACCGACGAGGGAGGCTAGGAATGTGATTCCTTTCCTATCCATTTCGTCTGAGCAGTCTTGAATAGGCCGGTTGACGGAACGACGAATTTGAGAGGGATCGGGATACTGAAGGATAGGTCATTACCAGCAGCTAGTGTGCGGCGGTGTCAATGAAGCGCGAAAATGCAGCCTTCCCTGAATCGTCGCTCCCTATCAGTATGTGATCGGTTAGGTGGCGGCCTTGACGCGAAAAAAATTAGCCACTGGTAAAAAACGCCGCGGATAGGCTCATTCCATGTCACGTTACATCGCCGCGACTGATTGCAACGATATCAACTGTGTGTTGAGCAAGAGCGAAACAATTCATTCGGTCTTCATCCTCTTCTAATCATTCAGCACTCAAGAGAAGTTAGCAAAGCTGTGGAAATCAGTCATGGGTCGTGTTACTGGTAAATGTTTGCAGCGCACCCAGGGTTCAGCAAATAAATAAAGAAATAAATAAAAAAAATGTGCACAGTCTCGTAGAGAAGTTCGGAAGCGCGATGATGGCTTCAAAGTTGGATACAATAGTTCCTATTAGGCTGGCTTTCAGAACTGATCCACCCAAAAAGACAAGAAAAAATTAAAAAATAAGAAAATAAAAAAGATCTCATGAACAAGCACAGTCAAGAGACTAAAGCAAATAAAAATTGGTTACTTGTTGGTCGGAACGTCATTTGAGGGTGTTGATCTTATCACAACCAGCCAACCACGATCGCTCCTCCATGGTAAGATCAGATAAAGAGCGGCAGCATCTATCGAGGGAGTTAATCGATAATAGGCAAACTGTAAAACCACTCGTAAGGACGGTCCCTGCCATGTGCCAGGTGAACGAACCCTAAGCTGCAGTACTGCACCACTTCCTCCGCTGAAAAGTGCACGGGAACGGGCTGGAGGGTGATGGTACCGCTTGCCACTCGCCGCTCCACTCTAACGTACATCTCTTGCAACGATACCAAGATCCGCAGCGAACACGCACTTGGTGTTGGAGAAGAATCAGTGGTGATGACGAAGGCAGGTAGCGAGTCAGGGCCTCGCCAGGCGTCTGGCTAGCTGTGCGGTAGCGCGGGAGGAGTATGGAGAAGTGCATACCTTGAGTTCCACTTGTTAGTTGAGGGGGGTGATCGTGACAGCACTCTCATCCTCTTTTACATGCACAGACCCAAGTGACCGACTTCGTGACGAGGGAAAGCTTGGGTAGTCGAGTAGAAATCAACCTAGGCTCTAATACGGTGTTCTGTGCTTTGTTGACGGTGCTACTTGCCACTAGATTACCTCCCTCTTGGGCATCGGCACAATAACGCACACGTTCAGAGGAGCCGGGAAAATCATAGTGACTTCGGGAAAAATCATGACTTGTCAGAATGAGTAAAACCAGGCAGATAAAATCAAGATTGAGATACAAGTGTCGAATTCTTTTACAAGTTCTGAGGATAGGAACAGTCAAAGCATAAGGTTGGTCATCTCTGCAGGATGAAAAGCAGTTCATGCAGCGGTGACCGTCGGGGAACCCGTAACGAGTCGTGCACTACGAAGAATTGATAAGAACAGGTGAGTCTTATCAAGACAGGTTCCGTAGACAGAAGCCTTGAATTATGTGGTCAAAATATAGATTAGTAGTACCAATGGTCTTAAGAAAAGTAGGCGAGGCATCCGGAGAGGTTCAGCAGATTCGTCTGAAAAGTTGCCTACAGAGGTATTTTGACCTCCTGGGAGACGGCGCCATATGGCTCTTTTGGCTCCGACGCGTGTAGCGCGGAATCGCAGCGGTTTCTTGCCGGGCGGATGTGATACTACTGTTGGAGAGGTCAAAATACCCCTGGACGCAAATTTTTGCCAAGACAGTGAAGGAAATATAGCAAGATGAGGCAGTCCCTTTCTGACTGCGTGCAATAGTGATAATTTTTTTTGCTAAGCGAGCCTTATTAACAGAGGAAGACA